CAGCCCGGAGGCGCGCCCCGCCTCCAGAAGACAGGATTTTTGAAGACACTCATCACTTACACTCACATTTTATTTCCCTGAGTCACGTGGTCCCGATGTAATTAGAAGGTAGATATATTTATATCCCTATAAAAGGTCTTCATCTTTTTTCTGGAAGTTACTTGGAAACGATCTGATACTGCTGGCTCTTTTGAGGATTTGTTAGGTGAGACCAGGGCCGTTGCGAATGGCTGAGGGTGATTACTGCCCCGGCTGGGGTTTTGGGGCGCCGACCCCAGTGTCCATGATCCTTACGTTTAAGTCTGGCTGCTGGGAAGTCACAGCGTCCCTAGCCCTTGTGTAAGCTCGGGGACCGTGTCCTCCACTCCCTCAGCCTGGACAGTTTCCTGCGGGCTCGTGCCGACCGTGCTGCTGGACACTCAGCTGGACACTGGCCCTCTGCAGGATCCAGAGATGATTGTCTCTGTTTCACAACGTCGTCTCTCACCCTTTACAGCCTTTACCTTTTAGAGTCGTTCTAGACTCTCAGCTTTGTGTCCTTATTTATTCACATCTCTGTTTTCTTCTAGATTTGTACTCTTTGAGAACGGGCCAATGTCTTACTCACTTCAGATTGCCTCTTCCAGTTCAGTGGCTTACATACATGTGACATCAATAACTATTCACTGAGTAAAGGAATAAACATTTGCAACATAAGTGAAACCTCACTATTGGAACAGTTAATTAAAATGCCACTGCCTTCCTTGTTTTATAATGTTTACGCATTTTTAACAATCTAATTCTTTTAAGGCAATGGGTGTTCTTTTATTCTTATTCTGTTTGGCTGCTATAACAAAATACGATAGGCTGTGGCTTATCCAGAACAGAAATCTATTTATCACAGTTCTGGAGTCTGGCAGTTCCAACGTCAAGCAGCCAGGAGACCCTTGTGTGGTGTGGGCCTCCTGGTTCACAGACAGCCGTGTTCACTGTGCTCTTTGCTCATGGGACGAGGGACCAGGGGGCTCTGAGCCCGTCCACAGTCTCCCCCTCTCCACCCAATCAGCTCCCGAAAGCTCACATACAAATACTAACACATGGAGAGTAAGTTCCACGTATGAATTTTGGAAGGACACAAACATTCAGTCTATAGCAGGTGGTTAATCCAAAACAGTAATAAAAATTGTGATCAGAGGGAAACCTTGATTTGTTCCTGACTCTTTTGGGAAGTGTCTAGTTCTCCTTCCGTAAAAACAATAATATGACTTTGTTTCGTCGTAAATATTTTTACCTATTGAATGTGCTCGCCTGCTGTTCTTTCTATATCACAAAGCATTTTTCTATTTAATGACTTACTGATATTTGCAGAAATTTACAATATAATATTTAACCAATTCACTAATGTTTCAGTAATACTTTCATGAATGTTAAAAAAATTTCTTTTTTAATCTTGTTTTTAACCCTGCACCAAATTGATTTGCCTGCTTGGCAATACACATACGATAATTCACTTAGTGATGTATTTAAATATATAAACTTGTAAAATACCAGGCAGAATTCATGAAGAAGTATTAATTACATTTGTAAAATTAAATATTCAGTTCTTTTTTTAAATTTATTTTTTTTAAATACATCCAAGTTAGCATATGGTGCAACAGTGATTTCAGGAGTAGATTTCCTAAGCCCCCTTATCCATTTAGCCCATCTCCCCCCATCCCTCCAGTAACCCTCTGTTTGTTCTCTATATTTAAGAGTCCTTTATTATGTTTTGCCCCCCTCCTTGTTTTTATATTATTTTTGCTTCCCTTCCCTTATGTTCATCTGTTTTGTATCTTAAAGTCCTCATATGAGTGAAGTCATATAATATTTGTCTTTCTCTGACTAATTTCCCTTAGCATAATACTCTCTATTTCCATCCACTTAGTTGCAAATGGCAAGTAGCTATTGAGTTCTTTTTTTGCTTAAATCTCAGGGTTTTGCTCTACTATATCTATAATACTGAAGATAAATCAAAATATATCCCTAGGGTTTGGGGACAGCCTCTCACATCAGCACTAAACATTTTTGAAAACCCATGTTTTTGTTTAAAAATGTATGCAACTTCCACACAATAATATATCCCTGATCACTTCAATACAAAATAGTTGTTTTAATGTTCAGTTATTTTTAAGTCTATCTAGACCTTTAAACAAAACTAACAAACCCAAGAAGATGTAGCATTTTTGCCTAGTGACTTCAAATACCCTTTGAGAGATATACCGCTTTACTAGAATTAATAAATTAAACCCATAAACATTTTTTCTTAATACATACTAGGCTACATTTTATATTTTAGAGAGTACTGATTTGAGGTTCCATGTTAAAATGACTCATGAATTCGAGAAACACTACAACCAAAAAGTTTTTTAGTGGTTTAAAGAAACCAAGGAGAAACATTGAGGTGACAGACTGTCTTTCCCTTGTATAACCAGGAGCCTTTATTTTGCAAAATCTTTTTCCTCCCTGTTCCACCTTCATCTGACTTACAGCTGGGCCACGGACAGTGATGTGTTCATGGTACATCATTAACAGGAGCAGAGCCTCACACCGTCCCTTCAGGAAGGGGGTTAGTGCAGTGGGCATCGGGGAGGGAAAAAAGAGCCATACCTTGACCTAATTACGTTAGTGTATTTACTAAATGTCTATCATGCAAAAGCATTGTAAAGAAATCTGCAGATATGTAAGGCATTAAAACATGAATATTACAGGGGGGTTTGGGAAGGAGGTCTCCTGACAGGCAGTGAACACAATAAAGTGTTCAAACAGAAGCCACTGCAGGACACAGCCCTTAGGGTTGTCAGTTTTTTTTTTAATGAAGTTTAATATGCTGAGCTAGAAATGTCCAGGATTGATGCTGATATGTGGGGAGGCGGAGGGTCCTAGGAAATACCCATGGCAGGATTGATGGTGATATGTGGGGAGGGGAAGGAGGAGGGTCCAAGGAAATACGCCATGGCAGGATTGATGCTGATATGTGGGAGGGGGAGAGGGAGGAGGGTCCTAGGAAGCACTCCATGGCATGTGGTAATCTCCATTTACTAGAGTATTTTATCTCCGGGGAGAGATTTTATGCATGTTTTGTGTTATCATTAACATTCGCAATTCCAAATTTTCAGAATCTATGACAAGATATTGAAGCTGATACACCCTTAATGTTCCCAGCCATATACCAGTTTAATCCAGATTCTAGAATTCAGTCAGTCAGTGTATTTATTTCCCCAAATTAAAGAACCTTGTAAAATACACTGAAGGATTCTCAGAAAATTATTCATGTTGATTAAGACCGTTGAGTGTATATTATTAAGGGACTCTGATCCATTAGTGTAAAATAACTACAAAGAACTGAAATGAAATAAGTAAAAATTATTAAATGTATTTATGGATGGGTAGACTTTGGAAAGGATAATTTTATACAGAAACCTCAATAATGTGTATTAAAAGGGAGACAATTACATAGAAATTGTATTGATAAGTCAGAATAAGTGCTTAGTCCATGATTTTATAAATCTTCAAATTGAAAATGCATTAGAGCTCTATGAATTTAGAATTAAATTTTTATTATCTAGATTTGCTTGGGGCACCTGGGTGGCTCAGTCAGTTAAGCGTCTAACTTTGTCTCAGGTCATGATCTTGCGGTCCATGAGTTCGAACCCTGTGTCAGGCTCTGTGCTGACAGCTCAGAGCCTGGAGCCTGCTTCGGATTCTGTGTCTCCCTGTCTCTCTGTCCCTCCCCTGCTCATGCTCTGTCTTTCTCTCTCAAAAATAATAAACTTTAAAAAAATTATCTAGATTTAGTTTATAGGAAACAGAGTTACAATATTAAATATTAAAGTCAATGTCCTGTGAAGAACATAATTTCACACACCTTTGAATTAAGGCAAATGTTAGCACCCCTTTTTAGTGGCAAAGGAACTGTAGTCAAAGATGATGAATTTTGTCCCCTAAAGGCACACATGCCTCCGTTGAGGGGGTATATATACCCATTCATGAAATGTGAGATTTGATTTTCACTTCAGGCAATAGCATTGAGTTTTTGCTGAATTCACTCTATTTTGACTAAAATGTATGTGTGAAACAATTTATAGCCAGGAGTTATAAAACATTTTTTAAAAAATAAGTCTGATAGATGAACTAAGGCTTTGCATTCAACATCATATTCCCCTAACTCCCACACTGAAGCAGGACACGTTCACATGGTGAAAGAAGCTACTTTGTCAAACTCTCTAGTCACTAGTACAGTTTCTTGACTTAGAATATTTCCCACTGTTCACTGTGCTTTGTTTTGTCTCTTGGCCCCGAGTAACTTCTGTTTCATTGACCATGACCTCATTGTTGTTTATCATAACAAAAACTGACTTGGGTTTCAGGTCAAAATAGTGTGTACTTAAAATCACTGACTCTAAATTTTTTCATGGATTTTTCCCTTTGCATATTTCTATTTTAGATGCTTTTGACCTCAGTGCCTCTTGTGTTCACTTGCTTTTGGGTCCAAGGCCCTCATGGGTGACACAGTTGGTCACCAAATGCCAGAGGATGACTGCATGGTGTCAATATGTGTTGATTAAAGTCGACTCAAGATGGCAGTGGCATGGTTGTTGTTTTTTTAAATACGTGATTATTTCTAATTTTTTGGGGATTCATTTAGAAATAATGCAGGCCAAATATATTTTCTAAATATATTTTTGCCTAGTTATTGAACCAATTTCCCCTCTGAAGCTAAGTTAGCCAGCAGTTAGGGTTAACTAGTAGCCAAGGTTGGGGAGGAAGGTGGCATGACCTTATGGGATTCGTATTGTAAGACAGGTGTTCTCATAAGTGGAAAACAGCTCTGAGGTCACCCAGACTTGTTGCTCCTTTCTGGTCCTGCTCCATCTGTGAACTTCATGACACATGATGCAGCATTGTCTCATAACTTCATGCCCAGAATCTTCCCTGAAAGGCTGACACATCCCTCCTTGCTTTGTGGGTCTCCTTTCCAGAGATCATCCTGTCTTGACCCAGAACTCCTTGGTCAGTGCCCTTCCCAGGGCAGCTTTCACATGCTTGTTCCTCAGTGTGTAGATAAATGGATTGAGTGTGGGAGTGACAATCCCATAGAAGAGAGCCATGATCTTCCCCCTATCATGAGAGTAGCTAGAGGGAGGCTGGACGTACATACTGATGGCTGTGAAGTAGAAGAGGGACACGACCAGCAGGTGTGAAGCACAGGTATTGAAGGCCTTCCAGCGACTTTCAGCAGAGCGGATCCTCATTACTGCCCGAGCAATGAGCACATAGGTGCCCAGGATGAGGGTGAGGGGCACCAGAAGCAGCAGCGCCCCCAGCACGTTGAGCTCAGCCTCATTCACATGAGTATCAGCACATGCTAGTTTCAAAAGAGCAGGAACTTCACAGAAGAAATGGTCCACCACCCTGTGTCCACACCGTGGGACCACCACGGTGAGGGTGGACTGCACAAGGGAGTTGGCAAAGCCACTGATCCAGGTCCCAGTGGCCATGTGGATGCAGCGTCTGTGACTCATGATGATTGGGTAGTGCAGGGGCTTGCAAACAGCAGTATAGCGATCCAAGGCCATGATGGCTAGAAGTATGCATTCAGTAGAACCCAAGGCCAAGAAAATGTAGAGTTGGGCCACACAGCCACCATAGCTAATGGTCTTTTCTGGTCCCCTAAGGTTGACTAACATCTGTGGCACGGTGCTGGTAGTGTAGCAGAGGTCCAGTAGAGACAGATTAGAGACAAAAAAGTACATGGGACTGTCAAGCTGGGGGTCTAGGCGGGAAACAAGGATAATGGACACATTCCCAAATAGGGCAAAGATATAGGCCACCAGAAAGATTACAAAGAGTGGTGTCTCCAGCCAGGGGCGGTCGGAGAATCCCAGTAAGATGAAGTCATCTCGAGAGCTCTGATTGTTGATCCACATGTTGTCATGGACAGGTGAAGTGCTAGCTGGAACCTCTAAGTGCCCACTGCCAGGCACGGGTGTCAGTGGTAAGAGGGAGATGCTGAGAAGTAGGGACATGAGGTGGTGAGCTGGGCTTCCCATTTCTGCTGTGATCTGCACCTGCACCTTGATTATGGTGACACATTGAGTCAACATTGCCAATGTACCACTGAAAGATCCTTGAGAGAGGAATAAGGAGAGCACCAGCAAAATAGGAAGTGTGGCTTCCCTTGTGGGTGCTGTCTGGTTAGCTACTCACCCCTTTCGGGATTTTGTATCTTCCAAAAAGTTTCATAGAACTTCCATCACCTGTACACGTTATGAATATTTAACGACAACAATGGAGTACAGATTAAAGCAGAGTGGGGAGGAGGTGGAGCTTCCCAAATACAAGTGAAACAGAGGTCAGCTTGAGGGTCAGCAGGTGATGACCTTCCTTAGACTGACCCGGTCACAATCTTCCTGGGAACTGCCCTGCACAGATTTTACGTTATGGGAGTTTGCACTTTTAGGACGCCGCTCACCCCTTCCCAGCCTAATTCTCATCCTATTCAGAAAATTTTTAAATAGAGGGAAGAAACAAAAAGTTCAAACAGGATGATATACACACAAAACAATCCTCAAAACCTCACTTGCTGAAAAAATGTTACTTGAAAAATATCTGGATAAATGTGAGGCAAGTTTTACCTCTGAGGGAGGGAGGCATCCAGAAAGAGGTTCAGATGTTTGGCTCCCTGAGTTTCAGGGCTAAATATGAATTTCTAACCCTTCAGGATAGCCATTTAAATTTAGCCCCCCCCCCAACTTTATTCTCCTCTCTCACTCACTGTCACATATTCCTGCCTCCTGGTGCACCTGCACCTTCCCATCCAGATCACACAGCTCTTTATTATGCAACAATTGGATGATGTGCATGGAGCTAGAGAGTAGAATGTAAGCAAAATAAGTCACTCAGAGAAAGACAAATACCATATGATTTCACTCATATATGGAATTTAAGACACAAAACAAATGAGCAAAAGGAAAAAAAAGACAAACTAGGAAACAGACTCTTAACTTACAAAGAACAAAGTGAGGGTTGATGGAGGGAGGCGGGTGGGGGATGGGCTAGATGGATGATGGGCATTAAGGAGGGGGCACTTGTGAGGAGCACTGGATGTTGTATGTAAATGTTGAGTCACTCTGTTGTAGACCTGAAACTATATTACACTGCATGTTAACTATAGCAGAATTAAAAAAAAATCCAATGAGTACTTTTTCCGTTCCCTAAAATCCTAAATTCCTTTCAGTTTTGCTCCCATTTATGGCAAATTCGTGTTGTATTTCTCTCTAGTTATTTTATAAAAGGCATTTTCCTTCTTGCTTCAAACCTGACCATTCCATTTTGCAGGAGTGTGACTTTGGAGATGTCACATCATCTTTTTTTGTGGTTCAATTTCTCAGCTTTAGAATGACCCTAATTTTCTCATAGGACAGAGTGATACAGTGTAAACGGCACATGTAACTCAATTCTTTTCATATGTTGATAATTCAGTAGCTTTTAATAGTTATTATTTCTTTCCCTACTCATGAATTCCCTAACGTACTGGAATTTTCTCAACTTCTGTACACAGAGTATGTGATATTTGCAATCAATGGGTGATGGGTCAGGAGGACAACTCTGGAACCCCTCTGCTCCTCCTTCTCCCTTGCCCCCCACTGGTGGGATCCGTGTGCTTGCGTGGCTGGGTCCTATGCTGCTGTCACTGGGTTATGAAATCAGACAGAGGGGAATAACAGAAGGCAACAGAAGGCAGGGAAACGTGTCTGCTTCAAGCCCAGACCTCAGAATCACTAAATCCAGACCTGACTCCTTCTCGCACTCACAGCGTCTGTTTTTTATGGACAGAACCACAATTCTTTCAGTGCCCAGAGCAGAACCCTTATCTGTGAATTGCAATTGCCTGTGTCCCAGGCTGTCAAGTGGGACCAGTTCTTCTTTCACACTGTCTGTCACATCGATCCATGAAATCTGTATCTACTCAAACATATCACAGCAGACACAGAATATAGTTCCATGCTCCATAGTCTCTAGCTGTCCAGCTGTTCTCCCCACTTACAAGTTCTCATCTTCATAGAGACCCAGCACGTTTGGAAAAGTCTTTCCTTAGTTCAGACCTGACCATGCACAGCTCAGAATTCTTCAGTGAATCTCCACACACTATATCACAACACAGCCTTAGACTCGAGGGCTCCAGCCATCCGGACGTACCCACAATCCAGCCCACTTCTCCTTCCCACTTTGTGGGAACACCCACTGCTTTCTGTCCTGTGAGCATCATTTCAGGTTAAAAAGGTTCCTAAGTATGCCCCACCCTCTTTACTGACCCTCCAGAACAGTGTATTTGTAATTCTCCTGTGACACACAATACATTTTATTTTATGTGCATATACCTATATATGTGTGTGTATATATACTTATATCCCTGTTTTAGTACCTGGCCCCTTTTCCGACTGGACTTAATACATACTCTCTAAGAGTAGGGGTGTGACTTCTAGAAGCAAGTTTAGACGATGGGTATTTCCCACCTTTTAATTAATTGGAATTCAGTTAAAGCCTGAAGCTCTGAAATGCTTCCCTCTGGAGTTGTGGTGGGTTAGATCACTCCAGCATCTTGACGTTATGATTTCCTTTCACTCATGGCCTCAGTGGGTCTCACTGATATTTCATCACCACAGAACTAGATACACCAGCTGCTTCTCTACTCCCTGACCAAGAAGCCAGGGCAGAGTGAAATATGCCCACATTACTCGTAATATAAACATTCTAAGTGTTTTATTGCCATATTTTGGTGTTCATTTCTCCTGTGATTCACTTCAGATATTTCTTCTTAATGTGATGTCTACGAATCGTCCCTACGGCCTGATGCCATGCCTGGATGCCATGTACTGGATTCCCTTGTTCTAAACAGTCTTGGATTTGTTTGAATGGTGGGCCTTTCAGATCTCAGTTGGTTCCCACACGAAGTCAGTACCTTATTATCTACAAACTTTGTAATGTAAATCACAATTTCAGTCTAGAGGAGTGGGGAAAAGGCACATCTTAGGATATTTAAATGAAAATACAAGGTCCCAAAGGTAAACAACACTAATAGCAAACAATTGCATTTCTCCACAGCTTTCCTTATAACAGAATAATGTATAACAAGGATCTGCAAATACCAGAATGTTCGTATCTAACTTTCCATAATATATAAATGTATATAAGTTTTGTGTATGTATATATAATCGATTTTGTGCATATAATAAGCCCTCCTCACATGTATGTTTCATTTGTTCTCATAATAATCCCCTAAAGTAAGAATACTTTTTTAAATGATAGAACAGAGAAAACTCAGGCACCAAGAGGCTACAGGACTTGCTCAAGCACATAAATCTGGTAAATTTAGAAGCAAAGATTTGAATAATATGTGATTTGAATCCTACATCAGTACACTTTTCTTTCTTCTTTTTTTTAATGTTTATTCATTTTTGAGAGAGAGAGAGAGAGAGAGAGCAGGAGTGGGGGAGGGCAGAGAGAGAGAGAGAGGGAGACACGGAATCGGAAACAGGCTCCAGGCTCTGAGCTGTCAGCACAGAGCCCGACACGGGGCTCGAACTCATGAACTGCGAGATCATGACCTGAGCTGAAGTCGGAGGCTCAAGCGACTGAGCCACCCAGGCACCCCAATACACTTTTCTTAATTCCATTGTTTTCGCAAAAAAAATGTCAGTGGCCGTGAAATCAATATTTTTTAATTATTTTTTTTTTACTCTACAGTTCTATTCCTGAATGCTTCCTTCCCCAACTGTATGGAGCAGCAAAGCAAGGTTCCCTCTGATTTTGACTCTCCTTCCCTCTCCCAAACCGTTGCGTTGTTGACCTGGTGCTGGGCTGTAAAATCTATCAGGTTGTTTGCTTGGGACAGAGAGGGGCTGTTGGGGAAGACTGACCTCAGGCTCAGACGTGACTCCCAGACCCTGGTCTGCTGTCTGGATTTCCTTTGGGCTCTGTGCAGCGTCAACCCCGCTCCCCTCACCTACTGAAGGGTCAAGGCACCAGCTCCCAGTTATGGCCATCCTCAGGCCCCGCAGCCTCCCGCAGCGCTTTCCCCTGAGTATGCATGCTGTGATTCCATGTAAGCCTCTGAGACTCAGCATAATTAACGTCTGCCACCAACATGCCTGGGACAGAATAGCCAGAGGGACCAGCAAGTGAGACAACCTCAGAAGCAACCAAGATAAAGTTTCCGACCAAGTACAAACTTTGGGCAAGTTCAGAAAGTCACCTCAGAGGAAATTAAATCCATTCCAATAAGACTTGGTCTTAGTGGTTGTTCAGATGATTTTTATAATATCGATTATGAATTAGGTAAAATTACTCCTTACATATGCTCACTATTCTGAGAAAAATAAGAACTTCATTCAGTCACAAAATTCATCTTTCTAAAATGATTTTTACATGTGTCTCTCCCATAATGGCTCTTCATTCTAACTCATATTTATCATACAAGGTATTTAATAAACATAAGATATTTATTAATTCATTTGGTAATCATAGCCACTGTATAAATTAGGGAAGCACATTTGAACTATTCCTATTTAGCTGATGGCAGTCCCCAAACTCAGAAAAATCAAAGAACGTGCCCAAGATCATAGCCACGTAGACAGGGAGCAAGACAGATGCTCCCAAATTTGATCTAGATTTTCTTCTTCCAAGCTACTGAGCATTGCCAATCTATACTCCTCAGGGCGAGCCACCAAAATGAACATTCAGCATAGATTTTTGCTCCTATCTCCTTTACATTAGCCTTTATTTCTCCTTCTATCACACCTTTGGGGCAGCAGAAGGCACAGTGGGAGTGAAACGATGTGATTGTCCACACAGGACACCTGTCAGCCTCTGTGTTCTCTATCCTGTCACGAGCCGCCTGCTGGGCACATTTCTTTGTTTCTTTATTTAATATAATTTATTGCCAAGTGGCTTCCATACAACACCCAGTGCTCACGCCAATAGGTGCCCTCCTCAATGCCCATCACCCACTTTCCCCTCTTCCCCACCTCCCCATCCACCCTCAGTATGTTCTCTGTATTTAAGAGTCTCTTATGGTTCGCCTCCCTCTCTGTCTGAAACTATT